CGGCAAAATTATAGTTTTTTCAGGAGATTTTCGACAAGTTGCACCGATTGTGAGAAATGCCTATACGCCCAATGTTATTGTAGCAGTTACGTTGAAAAACTCCAATATTTGGCCCTTGGTAAAGGTATTCAAATTGGAAACGCCGCATAGAGTAACGGGTAATCCGATATTTTCCTCGTTTTTATTAAACGTAGGTGACGGGAAAATTCCCGCCGTACCTGTTTACGGTACGGACGGTCGAAGTTCGACTATTCCACTTTTAAAGAGTGTGAAATTCGTAACGACCTTACACGATTTAATCGATTTTGTTTTTCCAATAGATCTTATACACGATCCAGACGTATGTGCCAGACGTGCAATTCTTTCGACTTTGAACGTCAACGTACGACAAATCAACGCCATCGTAATGGAACGATTACAAGGAGATACGGTGACGTTAAACAGTGCCGACTATTTGAGCGAAGAACAAAATCTGTTGGCTGGCGTTGTTACCGATGAGGTGATGCATCATGCTACAGAATCCGGCGTGCCGGATCATTTGCTCAAGTTGAAGGTTGGTTCGCTTTGTTTTATTATTAGAAATCTTAATTTTGATGAACGTTTGGTAAATGGTACTAAAGTCATCATTATTTCGATTAGTAACAAATTAATCAAAGTCAGACGACCGAACGATTCTAACAATATCGAATATGCTATACCTAGAATAAATTTCAAATTTAAAATTAACAAAAATAGCGATATTGAGATGAATCGTAGGCAATTCCCTTTGCAATTGGCATACGGAATGTCCGTACACAAAGCACAAGGTCAAACGTTAGATACCGTAGGTGTCGATTTACGTTCGCCTTGTTTTACGCACGGACAACTTTACGTTGCACTAAGTAGAGTACGTTCGCCCAACGATATGCGTGTTTTAATTTCAAGCGACGACGTTTTAAATGACGTCGCACACGCAAATAATATCGTTTTTAAAGAACTAGTAGAGTAGAATTTTTTACAATTTTTTGATATTTTTTTTTTATATACAAACAATGTCGATGTAATACAGTCTAGACAATGGAAAGAGAGCAATTAGAAAACACTTGTGTTCAGCATTCACATGCAGAAAAACTTTAACGATTCTAGTATTTACTTATATCTGTGGTATACACATAAAAAAGAGGAGGTATGTGCGATAATGTTCTGTCCTAAAAAAGTTGCGCCTGCATTGGCCGACTGCGACACGAACTCTATTACTCCACAATTAAAAACACCTACTTACTGTGTTTACAATAACAGATAGTAGTACTGATCGTTTAAAAAGTTTTCAACGTTGATGGTGATAAGGCCTAAAAAGCTTAGTAAGCATTAACGTTATTACATGTATTACATGCTGAACGTTTTCAAAAGCTGGAAAAAATTATATTTACATATAATTTATTCCCTTTAACTCCTATTGGGTGTTTTATTCTATCGCTTCGGCGATAAAACAATTTTTATTTTTATTTAGCATTTTTATTCGTTTTTTTTTATGTATGTATACATTCATATTCACCGCTTTTATTATTGCTTGTTTAATTTGATAGTTTTACATTATTTTTATAGAATAATTATGGACATTTTTTACGTTAAAGATACTCTTTAAACGATTAATAATTAGTGTTAATAAGGAGCGTTGAATACGGACCATCGTTTCTGTAATACAAAATTGTCATTAGTTCTATTGTTAGTATTTAGAATTATGTAACTTTGGTATCTTTAAAAAATGTTAAAATATTAAGAAAGAAGCCAGAACATAGAAGTGGTCAAATGGACACGATGAATACAAGTTCAACGTATTTGTAAATACATTAATTTCTTTAAAATACAAACACTAATGTTATTTTTCTGTTTTAGAAGTTGCGGTTTCCGATATACTGTGGATTTTTTCAAAAGAAACAACATAATATTAATTTTAAACGTACGTATGTATGTACATAGGTTAAATGTTGTTTTGTACAGATTGTATTTATTTCTTTTCTAGTATCAAGAGGAAGGTCTAAGTGAAAGTATAGCGAAAGGCGACACATATCGAGAACGAACAAACGATGTTAGGATGTAGATGGTAACCAGGTTAATAAGCTCAACTGCAAAACAACAACGATTTGAAAATATAAGAAGTTCTTCATATGCTGTAATTAAAGTAAAGTAAGTAGTTGCCTTAAATAATTACTTGATTAATACTTTAAAAAAGACAATTTAAAAAATTGCAAATCAGAAATATTTTCTAATAAAAATAACTATCTTTGTAGGTAGGTCTCGAGGAAAGAATCTGTACACTCAAGTTATTATAGAAAAACAAACCAGAAGACAACGTTTTAGAAGATTACCTGTCTACTTTTGTACCTAGCGAAATAAGGTTTTAACGTAACCAGGCCAAAATCGTTAATTCGATGAGCTATGTAAGTACTTATAATTAATTGTAATTTCATCAGAAATAATACGTAAAATTTTATTTACTTTAGATTTCTACAAAGACCATTCTTCTTGAAAAGGTGAAACCGAAGATCCACATGATAGAAGTTATATCCACCCAAGTCGAATATGTCGAGCAAATATCTATCAAGAAAATTAAATTAGTTTGTAGCACTGTTTTTTATATTATACATAATTGTTAATGTTAATATTTTTTCTTTTGTATACAAGGTGTAGGTACATAGCAAAGAGTATGTTAACTTAATTTTCTAATTTATGTAACATATCTTATAAAAGAATAAAAAATATTTTTACAAAAACTTTTAAAATTTATTAAATAACTATTTTATTATTAATTATTATTATATTCTATTATTTTCAACTCGCAATTAGTAAATAGTGTTATCTGTATTAACTGTATGTTTACGACTTTTCTATATTTAACTACTCCAGCAGCCTCTTACAATTTAGGTCAGTAACAAAAACAGGGATGCGCAATGCGCAACCCCCTTTTCGAGCAAAAAAAAGAGGAAGAAAGATCAATTACCACGTTGTCAGAACTAAATCCAATTCTATCCTAAGTTTATTTGATTATTATATTTAAATAGGTTAATTTTTGATATATAAATGTGTATATAAACTATTAAAGAATAAAATGTCTAAATTCATTCAATTTTTCATTCGATATTAATTTTTATAAAATATACGTCGTTCAGAAAATACTAATTGTGGCATCAATGTTTGTAAGTTTTTCAGCGCCTCTACAATTTTGGTTTCAACTTTCGGTCATTTGAAATTTTGAAGGAAATGGGTAAGTCAGATTTTTTAGTCAGTCCTACAATAAATTAGATTAAATTGAATAATATCAATTTCATTATGCTTTTATGTTTGCGGATCGTTTATATGGTTTTGAGAACATTTAATCATTAGACCAAAGCCATTTAAAAAAATTAAAAATACAGGATAATGTCGTTTTTTGTCGTTTTTTGATAACGTCATTTTTTGCTTCAGTAATACACGTCAATTAAATGAATCGATTTAGATTGGAGATATTTTTATTGCGTATATATTTCTTTTCATAACAATGGCACGTTGAATATTTCCTTTCTATTATCTACATAAAAAATTCTGTGAAATATCATTAGTTATGTCACAATGATGTAGAAGTTGGCGATCTCACTGTAACAATGTTGGTGGTTAATTATATTTTTTGCTCAAATTTTATCTTGTAATAATATTTCAAACTAATACAGAAGTGGCATTTTACAAGACGCTAATATCGATTACAAATTATTCAGTTTTATATAATATTACTATTATTATGATATAATTTTTATCTTTACCTATATTTTTAATTGCTTTTGCAGAACCAGCTTACGCGAAACCCGCTGACCAGGCCGCTGACCAGCCGTCAGCGAACTCCGCCGCCCCAAACCGTAAGTGTCTATGCTATTTTTACATTTTACGAAAAAACATAATTTTGAAACATTGTTACTTTGTATTGTTCTTTATTTTAATGATTTCCGGATATTTTCTTTATTTTTGTTTTTGTTTTAGCCGCCGGAGTACTAATGGAGACGGAGGCCATTCAGGAACCCGACGAGGCCAAACCGGCCGAAAGGGACCTGAATGGTCCAACCAACGAGGGCTCCGGCGAGGACCAAAGGGGGGCTGCAAGGCGAGGACGGGGCCGGGGAGGCGGCCGAAGAACCGGTCGAGGACGCGGTCGCGGACGCTCCTCGACCTCTGCGCAGGAAACGGAGGGGGGCCGTGTCGGCCGCGACCGACGCGGCAAAACAAATATCCATAAATATTTTATATCGGGGGGGTCAAATAAAATTTTTATAAGTTAATTATTTGTTTTATTTTATATTAATAATTATTTCAGATGAAAACTATAAATAATTTTTCTCATTTGTACGATTTTTCTGTTTTTAGGAATGCTGAAGCCTTCCGAGAGAGGATTAGAATGCAGGGGGAATGTATTTGCCGTAAATTTGGATATTTTGTTGTGTTTCGTGGTACATTGGACCGTATTCATCCTTCTTCCAGACTGCCCCGACTACATTTTAAATTCTGTAAAGGTAAGAATTGAATTTTCTACGAGAATGAACGTATTTCTGACCATTTTTTTCATTTTTCAGGGATCTGAAGCCGTTTCAAGTCTTCCGAGAGAGGGGTAGAACGCAAGAGGAATGTTATTGCCGTCAATTTGGATAATTTGGTGCGTTTTATGGGACATTCGACCGTTTTGTTGGCTTTTCCAGACTGCTGGGCCTAGAAAATGAATACTAAAAAGGTAAGGATTGAATTTTCTATGAGAAAGAACCTATTTCTAACCATTTTTCTACATTTTTCAGGGATCTGAAGCCGTTTCAAGTCTTCCGAGAGAGGGGGTAGAACGCAAGAGGAATGTTTTTGCCGTAAATTTGGATAATTTGGTGCATTTTATGGGACATTCGACCGTTTTGTTGGCTTTTCCAGACTGCTCGGCCTACAAAATGGATACTAAAAAGGTAAGAATTGAATTTTCTATGTGAAAGAAACTATTTCTAACCATTTTTCTACATTTTTCAGGGATCTGATGCCGTTTCAAGTCATCCGAGAGAGCGGTAGAACGCAAGAGGAATGTTATTGCCGTAAATTTGGATAATTTGGTGTGTTTTATGGGACATTCGACCGTTTTGTTGGCTTTTCCAGACTGCTCTGCCTACAAAATGAAATGGTAAGGATTTAAGTTACCCGTAGAAAAAAGAGTACTGTTGGATTTTTCTTTTACTTAAAATGTTCTTATTTTGCAGGATTGGCACGGGATAATAAGAAGCAAAGGACAACTAGTAGCTTGGAATAAACCGCCAACAACAATTGAAGGCATATTTTGGATTTTTTCTGCCATTTTCAACATTAACCGAACAACCCAGTACTTCGATCGGAGAACCTTCGAACAATGGAATATTATGCTAAAAAGGTATGTAATTACTAATAATTCGTTAAAAAGACAAAATATCATTCGAATACATTCATTTGAAACAAAAATTATAAAAATAACGTAGTATCGAATGATTTTTATGTTACCTGTAGAATGAAAAGTAGGGTTAGATTTTCCTTTTACTTAAAATTTCTTTATTTTGCAGGATTGAAACTGGAAAAAAGGAAGCAAACAGCAACTGGCAAAGCAACATAACCAACCAGGAACAATTTGAACAGCATTCTGGAGTCTTTTCTGGAGGCTTTTTTCCCATTCGATCGAACAACAGTGTTGAAGAACCTTCGTAAACATGTTAAGTAGTATGTTAATTGTGAAATGTTTTTGTAATAAATATAATAAATTGTTATTGAAGTAACTGGTTTAGTTATTTCTACTAATTTAATCTCTTGCAGGAAATTAAAAACATTAATAAAGGACGTTTATCGTTTATCAACATGAAACTAATGTCAACTGTCAAAAACAAGTTTAAAGTAGAAGAAGAAATAAAGGCCTTTTACTATTCGGGTCAGTGTCTAGGAAACATTCATAGACTTTTACATCGCGCAAGGGGGTTGAAAGGGGGCGGAGCCCCCTTTCCGAGCGTTTAGCGAGTATATATACTAAAACCCCAGGCGTCATCCTATTGATTGGAGAGTTTTATTCTTTTTGAATTATTCGGGGACGGAGAGGGGTGTAGGAAGATGAAAACGGACCCGCTGATTACGAAAATGACCGTCTTTTCCCCGACTAAATTCGTTTTCGCTCGCAATCGCGATTTGAAAATGAAAATTGTCGGCCATGTTGAAATTTTTTGAAGTGTACGTAATTTTGTGTCATTTTTCGTACTTTCGCGTGGATCCGAATTTTGCCGAACTTGCACTCGGCGAACCGATCTCCGAGAAATTTTGAAATTACACAATTATATCTAAGAAAATGAATAAAAAATCGTTTCTACGAGCGTTTTATTGAATAATTTGTAAAAATAAAGGAGAATAAATAACCAGCTAAAAAAATTTCGTCGAGAAATTTGAATATGTCAACAGTGTCATTTGAAACTGCCGACGGGACGGGTCGCTTGCGCTTCGATCCGCCTAATTTCGCTTTTTTAATGGATTTTCAACGTTAAATTCAAGGTAAGTAAGCTTATTTGACAATTTAACACCTCTACAAACAATCTTCTACGATATTTAAATGGTCCCGAATAAAATATAACCCATTTAAAAATTGCAAGGTTAAGTTGCATAAAGCCGTTTATTAAGCAGATTATTTTACTTTTTAGAGGACCTGCAGCCTATATTTGACCGAAAATACCTAACTGAAGATGAAAACAAGGTCCCAGCAAGCATATTGTGGTAAATTCCGTCGATTATTAGTCAAAATTTGGATTCGAAGAATGGTCTACGTAGAAAATCCTACCTCAATACATGGTGTTACATTTGGAGGAATACCACTTTTTGGGTGTAAGAATTGTTTGTAAAGTATAGATCTACCGAAAGAAGACTAAATAGTGGTCATTTTAAAGAAAAAAGCGATAAAAATCGGTAAAGAATTTACGAAGAAGATTCATAGGCCTTTTACCATTCGGGTGAGTGTCTACATAAACCTTACGATACCTACGTAAATGTAAGTAAATGAATAAAAAATCGTTTCAGCAACCTTTTTTGTTGCATAATCTGTAAAAATAAACAAGATTAAGTTAAATAATCCGTTTTAAATTCGTCTAGAAATTTGGAAATGGAAAATGCCAAAACTGTCAAGTGTCAACAGTGTCATTTGAAACTACCGTCGGAAAAGACACTTGCGCTTCGATCCGCCTAATTTCGCTTTTTTAATGGATTTTCAGCGTTAAATTCAAGGTAAGTAAGCTTATTTGACGATATTAATACCTTTACAAAACAATCTACGATATTT